TGTTTGCAGCAATGTTGCAGACTTAATTTGCTCAAGAACCCACTTGTTTCTGGTGGCCTAGGTTATCTGGGCCAGTTTAACATTTCAAAAGCATCATTTTCCCCCTATTGGCCTTCTTCACAGTCTCTGCTTTCTCATATGTACATAGTAACTGAGAATTTGAGAATCATGTGGACGAGCTTAGCCTTGGTCTCTAACGACACATCCTCTTTGTTGCCTTTCTGAGTCTCAGCTCTGTCTTAATTTCTTGGTTCCAGTTTTCATTTGAATTACAATTTCAATGTCTTCATCATTTATGTTAAAGTTGTGTATTTCTTCTGTAGTCATGATTTTTGTCTTTTGATGTTCCAATGAAGTCTACTTTCACATTTTCTTCTTTCACTTTCATCAGAAGTTGTTTCAAATCATTTTTACGTTCTTCCAGTAAAATGAAGTCATCTGCATATCTTATGTTATTAATATTTCTTCTACCAGTTTTCACTTCTTCTTCCTTTGAATCTAGCCCATTCTTTTTGTATGAAATGTTTTGTGTACAGATTAATCAAATAGGAAGATAGAATGCACCCTTGTCTGACACCTTTGCCTGTAGGAGACCACTGTGTTGAGATTTCTAAGCGTTAAAGGCACAGCCTGATTTCTTCCTGCTGCTTATAGTAAAATGCCAGGGGAAAAGGACAGACTTAGGGAAGAACTGTTAAAGAAAAAGGAAATATGACTTGATGATTTGAGAAATTCACAGCCTGACCAGATTTGAAAAGATACTAAATTTAAGAGATTTACTATCGTAATAGAAAAAGCTAAGGATGTAGTTGTACGATCTTTCTCTAATGTCATAGGAAGATGGAAGATGCATCTGTAAAGGGATTAAGTGTGTGACTTTTAGATCCCCTCCACTATCTTAGCAGAAGCCAAAAATACTGGTGTTCATTTCTAATCCCCAGAACTCATGAATATGTAAAATTAGTTTCCTATTATTGCTATAACAAATTACCACAAACTTAGTGGCTTAAAACAATCCAAATTCATTACCTTGTAGTTAAGAAGGTCGTAAATCTAAACTGGGTTTTAGTGGACTGAATTCAAGGTTTAGTTACTTCTGTGGGCTCCAAGGGAGAATGTTTCCCTGCTTTTTCCCAATTCTAGAGGCCGCCTGTGTGCCTCCGTCCTCACAGTCAGCAGTTTAGCATATTCAGATCTTGCTGACTCTGACTGGCTCTCCTGCCTTCCGTTTCACTTACGGGAATTCTTATAATTGCGTAGGGCCACAAACCCTGATAGTCTTGGATGATATGCCCACCTCAAGATCCTTACCTTAGTCATATCTGCAAAGTTCCTTTTGCCATGTAAAGCAATACAATATATTCACAAGTTTCAAGGAAAAACAGACACCTTGGGAGATCATCATTCTGTTTAGCAATTCTATTTTGTCTAACTTTTCAGTTTACTATAAAATTGCTAATAATATCCTATTATCTTTTTTCTACTCTCTCGAACTCACTCCAATTAGGTTTTTGTCCCAATTGGCCACTGGAATCACCAGTGACCTGCAGGTAGCCAAATCCAATGGGAGTGTCTCAGTCTTAATCTAGCTCAAATGTGTTATCAACTTTCCATCCACTTAATTTGGCCCTTCTTCTTTGCTTGGCTCCTCAGATCTCTTCTCTATCAGCACTCTCTCTCCAGGTGATTTTACCCAAATTCATAAATACCATCCACACATTGATAATTCCCAAGTTATATGTTCAGCCAGGACCTCAACCCTGATTTTCAGACTTGTGTATTTGTCTACTCAATATTACCACTTGCATAGCTAATAGGCATATTAAATCTAAAAATTGGTTTTCAACCCAAACCTGCTTTTCTCCTTGTATTCTCCATCTCAGTAAATAATTTCATCATCATTCACACAGCTATTCAAGCTGAAAAACCACTGGAATTATCCCGATTCCTCTTTTTTCTTTACTACTTCACATCTAATCCATCATAACCATTTCAGAATATGTCTTGCATCTAACACTTATTACCACCACTGTTACTAACCTGATCCAAGCCATAAACTTCTCTCATTTAGGTTGCAAAAGCTCTTTAATTGGTCCTGCTCCTTAAAAACTTGCCCCCCTTCCCTCCCCTAAGTGTATTCTCCAGACACTATGCTGATCCTTCAAGAATCACATCCCTCCCTTATTCTAAACCCTGCGAAGGATTCATTCACTTTACTCCAAAGTCCCTCCTATGATTTACACGATCTTCTTGTGGCTGCCTCTATAACCTCCTTCCCACTAATTTTGTCTTGCTCGTTGCTCACCAGCCATGCTAGCCTGCCTATTCCTTAAACGTATTAAGCATGTCCATATATAAGGTCTTCTGCAGTGGGTCCCTCTGTATAGAATGCTGTTTATTCTCCCACTGCCACCAAGGTTAGCTCTCTTCACTCAGATATTTGCTAAAATGTCACCTTCTCAGAGATCTTCTCTGACACTCTACGTCTCTATTGAAAATAGTATTACCATCACTTGCTGTCCCCTTACCATGTTCTGGTTTACATTCAGTACACTTTATAACCACCTGATGGTATATTTTTTTCATGGCGTATTCTTATGTTTTAAAATCTGTATTCACAACTAAAATTTAAACTCCATGATGGCAAGTACTTAGTTTTAGCTTTTATTGTATCTCTAGCACATACAGCAGTACCTAGCACATAAATGATAAAATAAACTTTTCATTGAACTTTTCCCTTTATTCATGATTTTGATCTGCCACTATGTGCCATATTTTAATTCCAAAGGTCACAGAAATGAATGACAATCTCTACCTTCCCAGAGCTCTTAACCTAGAAAAACAGACATATATACACAGAAAAATTATGATTCAGAGTACAAAGGATGAGTTTAGATAGAGGAAGTAGTAGAGAGGATTATCAGGAAAAAATGGAGAAAGTTCAACATGAGCAGAACCTAAAATAATAAATAGAAGTTTATTAGGCAGGTGTAGGTAGAGTGAGAGGGAAGGCATTCCAAGCTAAAGGTATAGTGTGTGTCCAGGCAGAGAGGCAGGAAATAGCAGGTGGTATCTGGGAAAATATAAAGACTTTGGTACTGGAGTAAGTGATGTTCTGGGAAAGGTGGTGAAGATGATGCTAGGTAAGTAGTGTGGTCTCAGAATATGAGAAGCCTTATGTGCCATGCTATGGAGTGCAAATTTTTTCTACTCGCTGAAGGGGAAGCTCTGAAAACTTTTACAATGAACTTGAGTAGACAGATTTTCACTCTGGTCATTTTGCTCATGCTTTAGAAATGCCATTCTAGCAGTCTTATTTGTGCCAAAGTTAAATTCTGCTTGAAAAAGTCCAGATGAGAGGCAATAATGTTGACAGGAAAGTAACAATCTAGGCAACATCCTGGGCAAGTAGCATAGGGAAAATTAGAAAAGAAAATTAAACAAGGCCAAACAATTTGAACAACTTACAGCCAACTAGTAAATCACAAGACCTTGTCTTTCTTAACCAAGGACACTTGAGAGCAAATGGTTTCTCTCTTTTTCCTAGCCAGAGAATACATAGCTTAAATCACCTTGGTCTGGGAAATAAAGAACAGAGAACAAGTTAATGTCATTGTGCTAGCTAACCCAAGGACAGATGAAGTTAGGGGAACAAAAAAAAAAAAAACAACCCATTAGAGCCAAATAGGTCCAAGATAAAAACAGTAGAGCAGACCAAGAAATAATCCCCCGCTTCCCTATATGCTAATCTTGATGCATCGACATATTAAAAATGCACCTGGAATGCTGATGGATATTCTGCTGAAACCTTCCCCTAAGACTCTCATCTGCAGAAAAGAAAGAAAAACCCTCAGGACAAAGACGGGTTGTGGGGCTTGTTCCCGAGCTTACCTGTGCCCCTTCTTGGACAAGAACTTTTTACTTCCTTATAAACCCTAAGGGTCCCTACAAGACTTGCAACCAGGAGAGCAGCAGACAGTGGCAGCTCATCCCAGGCGTACCCTGTTCCTCTCTCCAAGGCCTCCCTTTTCTGTGACTCCCCAGTGAGCTAACAGCAGCCCCACCTTGGCTTACTTCTTTCCTATAACATTTCTAGGGAGTCGAAGCAGCTTCGCCTAGGCCCCATCCTATTACTTCTTCTACCCTGAGTCTTTCTTTTGTTTCACTGTCCCCAGCTGTAACAAGCACACTCTCAAAATCAGGTCAACTCGTGAAATCTTTCCTACCTGAAGTCAAGAACCCACACACTACAGGCTGGCCTGAGGTAGACCTGATTTGGGCTGATCCCTGTTTATTAACAATGAGGGCCTGGAGTAGAAATAGTTGAGGGAAAATACAAGGATGTATCAGACTAATTCTATACTTTTTTTGGTAATTATACAACTTTCAACTTTTGTTTCTGTACTTTTTAAAACAACCTTCTAGTATAAACCTGGTTTCCCTGGTAGACATTTCTGCTGGAAAAGAACATCCTGACCAGGCAATCCGAGTAATCCAGTGGGGATCGCAGTTTCTTATATCTACCATTTACCTTGTGAGCTTTGCTAGTGTAGTCAGTTCTTTAGGGACCAATCACCTTGTATATAGTGATAATTTTAATTCTGAACACGCAGAGGGGAACAAGATCCCTCGATAACACATCCAAAGAATGGAGATCCATCAAGGTCTTCAACAAATTTACTACTTAGGAGATATATTATTAATCATAAACTTTTTACACCACTGTACAAAAATGTAACAGAATTTATTAGGAATTTCAGGAAAACAAAGGTTCTCAACAGTAGCTAATACATAATTTGAATAACAAAATAGCCTTCATTTTGTTTTTAAATACAATAAATTTATTTCCAGTAGCATCTCATTAAAAATGATAAATTATTTTCATTCATTAAAATTTATTTATCAATAAAATACATAATAAACTATAATTTGTAGCATAAATGTAAATTAGTTAATTTACTCCATTACACACATTATAATTTATCTTATTTTATGGTTATAGTGTTTGAATAATTAACAAATTGCAAAAATATATGACATATTTACAGGAGATTCTAAAAAATAATGATTCCATTTAATAGTTATTGTTACAGTCTGTCATCAGTATTTTCTCTGTGATCTAGATCCAACATGGGGAGCTTGACTGGTCCTTGGCTGGATGTTCTGTAACGTAATTTCAGAATATTTTTTTAATGTTGTATTATAGACTTTAAGGTGAATCTCCTTATAGATTACAGATTTTAGTAAGATTAAACTCAATTCAAATACTCAGAAGTTACATATGTGGCAATCTTAACATAATGATCACCTCTTTATGTAAGGCACTAATTATAATAATTCACAATCCTCACTCTTTGCTATTATTAAAATGTGCTTAAGAGGTTTTGAAAATCACAATCTGATGTGTAAATCATTGAAATTTTATAATTTTATTTTCTACAGGAAGTACTTGGAACTCATGTAACACCCTAGGAGTGGTTGAACAACATATATTGGACTAAAGAAGTTGCTTGGAAAGGTGATTGTTAACAACCCATTAAATGTATTTTATTTAAAAAAGTAAGTAAAGTATTTCAAATGAAAATTTTACTTCGAAGATTCATAGTTTTGGCATTAAAAAAATCATGGCAGCTGTCTTGAGAATGTCTCGTCGTGACCTATTCTGCTACACTGTTTGCATATTATCTCTGCTAGAATGTAAGTTTCTTGAGGACAGGAAAGTGTTTTCCTCTTCCTAGTCCCAGCCCTAGCAGAGTGCCTGACACATGGTAAGACTTAGGCAATGAAGAAACCAATATGGTAACTGCTACCAAAAAAAAAAATCAGGCTGCTATGGTTGCCCGAAGGAGGACATACTGAATCAAAGCTTGGGCTGAATAAGCTTTTCTAGAGGGGGTGACACTAAAATGAATTCTCAAAGTAAGAGAAAGGCTTTTAAGAGAGCCATTCCTGTGAGGCAGTGGAGCAGCATGGGCCCTGGAAGCCTGCAGAGTCCCAGGGCGATGTGTCTGTACTCAATGGGTTGTAAGTTACGAGCTGAGGAGTAAATGGAGGTGAGGGTGGAAAGGTCTTGAATGCAGTTCTCCAGAGTTTTATCTTTTTGGTAATGGGTACCCACTGAGGTTAGGTTTTAAGCAGGAGTGGTATGTTCATATTTGTGTTTTAAAAAGAATTACTCTGGTAATAACTGCATGAATGATGCACTGGAGAGAGAAAACCTAGAGTCTGTTGAAATGGCCCAGATGAGATGCATTTTTAAACTAAGACACTCTCAGTAGGAATGGAGAGGAGTAGATGGATTTGAGATGCATTTAGTTGAGTATTATTGGAAGGATTTGTTTCTAGGGCTATAGCAGAATGAGAAGCCTGGATGAGACACAAATTTTTGTCTGGGAAACTTGATGGATGATGGAGTCATTAAATACAATAAGAATTACAAAAAGTAGAATGCAGTTTGGGTGGAGGGAGAGGGGAAAATGTAAATCCTGGCTTTGTCAATGAACAGTTTTAAGATTTGAGGAAATTACCTGTTGTCCTTAGTTCAGAAGATTAAACAACAGAATATGTGTGAAACCATCTGGCATAGTACTTTTCAATGGTAGGGATCCAGTAAGTTTTATGTTGTTAGGTGGAGAAATGCAGTTCCTGAATTAACTACACAATACATGTAAATTGTAAAGCTAGACATATGCCATGTTATAACTTAAAAACAAATTTTTTGTAAGTTTATATGGGTATAAAAACATTGGAGCTAAAAGTAAAAGAAAATAAAAACATTAATAAAAAACTTATCATAAATAAAAAATTGCATCATCTCCAAAACAATGAATTCTCCCAAATAGATATTTCTGCCATTTTATGGAGAGATAAAAGTCTTTTTTTAGGAACATCCTTATTGAAGAACTAGGCTATACCACAATTGTCTTGGTAAATAAATATAGTTTTGGTGGTCTCTTATGTTATACATATAAAATATTTAGAATTAAGGTTTTATATTGACTTTTGAGAACTTATATATTAAATAATTTTATTTATTTGAAATGTAATGGGATCCAGGAACACATTTTGAGAGCTTTTAAAAGACCAAAATATATTTAAAGCCCATGTACTTTATCCCAGCGGAGGCACTAAGAACCTATGTATTCTTGCTTTAAACATAACTCCAAAAGTTTGGACATATGTTTTCTGGGCTCAAAATAAATTACAAGCAGCAAAACAGGAGGCTTGAAGGCAAGACAGAGGTAGAAGTAATCCCAGGTGATAAAAAGAAAACACAAAGCCTATAAAAATATAAACTTTGAAACTATAAATCCCCCATAAATGTTAACATGAATCTAATAATGAGAAAACCACCAGACAAGTCCAGATTATGGGATATTCAACAAGACAACTGGTCTGGACTCTACAAAACCGTCCTTGTACATGAAAGATAGGAAAGAGTAAAGAGACTTTTCTAGGTTAAGAGACATGACAATCAATCACAATGTATAATCCTGAGTTGGATACTGGATCAGAGAAATAAAATAGCCACAGAAAACATTTTTTCGGTCTCAATTTTTCAGACAACTAAGGAACTTTGAATATGGAGTATGTATCACATAATACTCTTTCAATATTAAATTCTTGGGTGGGATGATGGCATTATGATTATGTATTTAGAGGGGAAATATCACTATATCTGTTACTTACTTTCAAAGAGTTCATTAAAATATATGTTTGTGTGTGTATTTCTATTCTATTCTATTCTATTCTATTCTATTCTATTCTATTCTATTCTATTCTATTCTATTCTTCCATCCATCCATCATTCATTCATCCATCCATCTATCAGATAAAGCAAGTGTGGCAAAATGCCAATAATTTGTGAATCCAAGTGAAGAATACAGTAACATAAAAAAAAATTGAAAGGAAGGGCAAATGAGAATAAAATGTTCAAATCCCATGCAGAATATGGCAAATGAGTTTCGATGGGGGAGGGGGGGTAATTTTGATGTTAGCTGTCTAAAGAGGCAGTTGATAATTCTGTGACTTTATACCATTTCCATGAAAAATAAATGGAAGGATTCATGTTAGTGATGTTAAAATAAGGAAAACTAACATGTGTGGATAGAGACCGAATAAAGCTAATGGCTACCACATGTCATAAAGAATGAAAAATATGTAAGATAAATATGAGTTCAAGTCTACCAGTGATCCCTAATCCACACCATTTCCTTTTCAGTTATTCATCTGATACTCTGTCACACAGTGCACCAGTATGTACAGTGGAGGAAACGCTGATTCTCTTCCTACTGAGTAGTATTTACAATTCATGATCAGTTAGTTTTCTGTGGTTAGTACACTGTTTTCAAGTTGAGTGGAGGTGTGTACAAGAGTAATCTGTCACTGAATGTCTTAGCTCACTAAAGTAAGAATTATAAATGTTGTAACAGAAAATGGTCACTTAAAATTCAGACATACAAAAATTATCACTGAAAAACTACTTAAATTGCTGAATTGATGGAGATGGAAAGAAATTTGAGTAAAAATCAAACTATCATGCAAAAAGTAAGCATGAAAAAAACACACCAGGACTCAAAGTGACCATTGCCAAAGGAGTTTGGTCTAAATCACAGCACCAAAAAGGCCACACCAAAAAGGCCACTTTGAAGAAATGTACCCATAATAAGCTCCATGAAGGCAGGGACACTCTTTTTCTTACTGTTATTCACTACTATACTCAGAGCATAGCAAAAGTCTGAAGCACGGGCAAGAAATATATAACTTTGTGTAAAAGTAAGTAATAAGAAATGAGGAGGTGGGGAGCACCGGGGGGGGGGGGGGGGGTGGGCTGGGATGGGAGTAAAAGACAGAAAACTGTACTTGAAAAATTAAATAATTTTATATTGGCAAAAAAAATGAAGTATATTTGCATAATCTTACTTCTTCCTGTCAAGATTTCAAAATCGAAGGCATATAATGAAAAAACAATTGAGCAAACATGCAACTGAGTCTCTAACAAAACATAACATAGACAGGGATGTGCCCTTTCTGTAGACCAGCGTGTCTCTTGATCACCTCTAGCAGGCATGACTTCTTGCTTCTGTGATTTCCTCAGACTGTGCACCACAGTCTTAGCTTGCCTTGTACCAGTTATTTGGATATAAGATCCATGTGCGTCTTCTCCTTTTGGACTGAAAATTTCTGAATCACTGGTTTTAATTTATATGTATGTGTTCACCAGAATCCAGTGCCGAGGCAAAAAATAAAATTCAAAATAATAATGCCTAGCTTTGAGCTCTGAAGACATGGAAGTTATATGGGCAAGGAGGGGATCATTGCTAATATAAATTTCTTAACAATTTTCCAATTAGTCTAGATATTTAAAATTATTTGAAGAGTAGTGAGTGTACTGGTACCTGTTTTTGTTCTCATGACTAATGAAATACTCTGAAAGTAAAAATATTTACATTGCCATTTAAAAATTTTTTATTTATCTTTAGAGGGGAAGGGAAGGAGAGAGGAAGAGAAATATCAATGCATGGTTGCTTCTCATGCGTTCCCTGCTGGGAACTTGCCTGCAACCCAGGCATGTGCCCTGACTGGGGATTGAACCGTGATCGCAGGCCCATGCTCAATCCACTGAGCTATGCCAGCCAGGGCAACATTGCCATTTTTTTAATGAGAGAATATTTGCTTGATTCTAGCAGAACATCTTATAATTGAAAGTTGATTGTGGAGAAAAACTCCCTAAAAACAAATCTCAAAAATTAATATCAATATAGGATTCTTATACATAAAATCATGAAGTTTCCTAAAAAAGAAAAAAGCTTCTTAAAATACTTACCAGAAATGGTATTATTTGTAAGGTATTTTTGATGGATGGATTTTTGCAAATGGTTTCTTGTACATCTGAAATAATTATACCATGATACAAAAATAATTTAGTTAAGCATATTGAAAGGAAAGAATGCCTAAATCAAATACTAAATTCTGATGTGCTAAACTCAACATTCAAAATTGAGTAAGAGACTTTTTTTCTATTGTTCCCAGAAATAGTCTTTAGACTTATATTATATTAGGGAATATAAGTAATTTGATTAAAACAATACACAAAACTTAATGTTGATAAAAAGAAATTTCTAATACTTTGACTATTCTTTAACAATATTTATTCAAATGCTTAGATTTCTCCCCTATTTTTCCTGTTTCTTTTTTTAAAAAGAAAACAAAGAAATGAATTTCAATCTTTGAGCAACTCAGGAAAGAGGAAGAGATTTTATTTAGCTATTGAAGCACACAAAAGTTGAGTCATTTGGTCAACTCTTGCCTTTTCAGTGTTGAAGTTTTTGTCCATATAACATCAAGAGTCTTGGCAAAAGAAAGAAAAATTCAGGCAGGATCTTTTACAGGAAGCATTTAAATATGTGCAACTATATAATAGGGGAAAAAAACCCTCCAAAAACTGACTTGAGGGTTTTTTCTCTTTATCTGCATAATTTTGCATCTTAAACTTACAGCTTTAGTATTATCTTGCTTTTGTGGTTGTAACAACCTTTTATTAATATATTATTAAAAATTTAATTTTAGAGTTAACACAAGAGTATATAAAACATTTATGCATAGTTTAATTAATAATAATAAAGTTAATGTGTGTAACCACCTAGATCAATAAATTTGAGCATTATCCCTTCTTTAGAAGCTCCTAGCTGCTCCCCACCTTCACACTGCCCTGCAGATTGCACTGTTTTCCCTTGCTCACAGAGGTACCCACTGTACTGACTTTGTTTCTTTATAGTTTTAACACCTATGTTTACATTCCCCAAAGAATATTGTTTAGTTTTGCCTCTTTCTGAAGTTCACATAAATTAAATTGTACCATCTTTATTTTCTTATTTTGCTCAAAATTATATATTTGTAGCTCTACCCATGATGATGTGTGTAGATGTAGTGTGTTAATTTTCCTTGCTGAATAGTATTCCAGTACAGTTAAAGTCTTCAAAGTTTGCGTTTTAAACAATGAAAATCTCTCTATATGTATATACAAATCTCCTGATGTACATGTGCAGGATTTTATCTGGAATATGCACATAGAAGTGAAATTGCTGGTTGTAGGGTATGTTCATATTTAGTTTTTTAGATGGGGGCAAAACATTTCCTAAATAGGTTGTTGCAGTTTACACTATGACAAGCATTCCATCCATGCTCCAATCGCTGTACATTTTTACCAACACTTAGCATTGCCAGGCTTTTAAATTTAGGTCTTTCTGATGAGGATATACCTGAATCTCATTGTTTTAATATGCATTTCTGTTGTAAAATTCCTATTCAAGTCTTTTTTTCTTATTGCCTTATTAGGAGTTCTTTACATATTTTGAATGAGTCTTTTATTCAATGAATTATAATTTATTGTACTTGTGGCCTGTTTTTTCATTCTTTTAATGATGTTTTGATATAAACAGAAGTTTGTAATTTTAATATAGTCAAATTTACGAATTTTCTTCTCTGTGGATTATGTTCCTTTTGTTTTGCTTAAAAAAATCCTTCCTTACCCTGAGGCTAGAAACTTCTTACTTATATTATCCCCTAATAGTCATATATATATATATTTTACATTTAATTTTTAATCACCTTGGGACCTAATTGTGTATATGGTATTTAGTAGGAGTTCAATTTAATTTCTTTCTATTTGGTATCCAATTATTCCAATATGGAGTGACAAACAGCTTATCTCAAAATGACCCTGTAAGGTCTTCATAGCTGGCATCCAAGAACAGGTTTTCGCCCCATAGGAGAGGGCTGTGCCTAAATCCAAATTCCTATGAAATAAGTAACTCCTTCTTCAGGAAAAAAAAGCTGCAATTTCTCACATTGGGATTCCAATTACATGTTTGTTAGAAAAGTTTGTTCCACACTTCTCAGACCACCTGTTCTCGTCCCCCCCTTTTTTGTTTTCTCTCTTGGTGTTTCAGTTTGGAAAATTTCTATTACTTCTCTCCAAATTTCTTGCTTCTTTCCTCAGCTGTGTTGAGCCTACTGATTAGCCTATAGAAAACATTTTTCAGTTCTGTTGCAGTTTTTATTTCTCACTTTTCTATTTGATTCTCCTAGTTTTTATCTCTCTGCTGAAATTCCCCATCTGTTCATGCATGTTGCCTATCAGTCCCATATTGTTCACTTTTTCCACTCTAACCTCTCATAGTGAGTCATAGTTAACTTAAAATTACCTCATAGTTCGAACATCCAGGTCACCTCTGTGTCTCAATCTGTACATTCCTCTGTCCCTTGACAGTGTGTTGTTTTTTTGTTCTTTTTTGGTGTGTGTGTATCTCATAATTTTGTTTGAATACTGGACTTTAGGTTTGGAATAGTGGGTACTCAGGTAAATAGCAGTTGTGCCTGGAAATGGGCGTGTCTCTTCTGCTAGGCAATTGTGTGTGTGTAGTTAATCACCTTAGGGATTGAGCTGGGTTTGGGCTTTGTTGTTGCTATGGTTACCTTCGGTACACCAGTACTGGTTTCAAATTCCTGTGGTATTTTCTTTTTGTTTGTTTCTGTAGTGGTCATGGAGTTTTTTTTTTCTTCTTCAAAGCTCCTGCTCTACTCTCAGCTTTTGGCCTTTTGTGTTTATGCACAACAGAAGGAGGCTCTCTCTATGCTGTTGCTTCTGTTCCAGATTTCTTTTGTTAGTTAGCACTTGCTGGCCTTTTATTTGTTAGTTAGCACTTGTGAGGGAGGGGGTATTTTCTGTTGTCCTGTCCAGGTTCCATCTTAGGAATATCCTCTATACGTTCTTAGCCATCCTGCTCCTTCTCATGGCAGTCACCTTTTTCAAGTAGTAGCTTTGGGCCGGTTTTGTCCAAGAGCATTTTGTGCCCTCCTCTAATAGCAGGGTACCTCCAATGATCTGGGCCCATGCCTGTCTCTCACCCCCTCCCATGGAAAGAGGCTTTTCTGTTCTTTTACCTTTCCCCTACCCTTGTAAGTCTTTACTTCTGCCCTGGGGGCAAATGACAAAGTTTGCTGCCTCTGTTCTAAGACCTTTTGGCCTTTATTCTATAGGAGAGAAGGTTCTGCAAGGGGCTTCATGTCTTGCCTACAGCATGGCTGCTCCCCGCCTCCAGGATGCCCCACTGAGGAAGGATTTCTTTAAACTTCTGCTCTGTCCCTTAATCTTCTCAAGAATGTACAACGTAGGTTCTTGGAAAACTTACTGTGAGTGGTTGTGAACTCTTCTTGTGTCTGTGACTACCAGGGATTTTATATTTTCACAATAGTTCACCCTTATCCTTTTGTAATTTGTTAAAAATCTAAGCAGGATTCCTAATATCAGCTTGTATGGAACCTGACATTTCTTTCTCCCATATACTCTGCCAAGGTGAGCTGGTAATCATGTTCCGCCTCTTTGGAAATTCCTGTCTTTCCTTGGGTGTCAGGTTACTTGGTTGGGCTGTGACTTCAGATCAGTAATCCATTCAAGAAAAGCTATACTTTTGCTGTTTATTTGCTTTTTTTTGGTCTTAGGGTGGGACTGACACATCAGAGTTTTTTTACCTTTTAAACAGAAGTGAAATCCACACACAATACATACATTATGCATTATATAGAAATGTATGTGTGTATATGTGTTGGAATTTTCTTCTAGTGGTTCTAACCATACTTGATTTTTTGGTACGCAAAGGACATTCAGCAATGTCAGGAGACACTTCTTATGACTGGGAGGTACCAGAGCATTTGGTGGGCAGAGAAATCAGAGATGCTGCTAAACGTCTTACAATGCATAGGACAGCCCCCTATAACAAAGAATTACGTTGCCCAAAATGTCAGTGGTGTCAAGGTTAAGAGACTATGATAAATACATTCATATGTAAAATACTGTTATTACTATTCATGTCTAAATACTTTGAAATTTCCATTATGGCATTTTTTAGAATAATGATTTATTTAGAAATGTTTCTTAGTGGTTATTGTCATTTTGTTATTCATGTTTAGTTAAATTACATTGTTGTCAGAGGATATATACAACTTCAAATCTTTGAAATGTGTCAAAGCTTTTTTTATGGTATCATATATGGTCCATTTTTATAAATGTTCTATATGTGCTTGCAAAGAACATGTCTCTTTGATCAAGTTTTAATCATGTTTGATTATTATATTAACCATTTAATTTTTTTGGTCTAGTCTATTAATTACTAACAAGGTAAAAAGAACAAGCCAGTCTCTCACCATGGCTAAAAATTATTTTATATATTTGGAAGCTATGTTCTTGCATGCATACAAAGTGAAAATATTTTATATCTTTTTCCAGAATTAAAACTTTGACTATCATGAAGTTATTTTTTATATATGTTCAGTAATGCTTGCTGCTTTATAGTTATTTTTGTCTGACAATACATCTGAACCAGTTTCCTTTGGTTAGAAATTGTTTATTAAATATTTTCCATCTATTTTGCTTTAAGCTTTTCCATATTATGTTTTAAATGTATTGTTTTTAAACAGAATATGAATATGGCATATAGTATGGCATATCAAGTATATTTTTGTTATGTACTTGCTGTAAGAGGTGATAATCTAGATACATTTTATATTTTTATTTTCAATTTTTAAGTTAAATTAAATTTTAAATTAAAATAGTCTCAGTACAAAATAAAACACTTCTTACAAAAGGTGCTCTTCCATACTTACAGTATAACCTTTCATTAAGACGATCAAGGGACTGTAGGATCTTTTGTTCTTCGGCTGATAGTGCACAAATGTTGAACTGCTGGGTCTTATTTAAAGCCAGATCTGGTTTCTGCAGCTGCTTGCTACTCATGACACTTAGAATTTCATCCTCAGGCACTGAAGAGTTCACTAGGTTTTCAGCCATCAAAAACTCAGAAGTACTGTCTGAAACTAAGGAGATTTTACAATAACTATTCTTTGACCCTTATTTGTCTTTAGGATCAGCACTTACACATACTTAACTGACATGTTTGTATGAATTCATTTCACTAAGAGAAACCCAGTGACTCTTCTGTAATTTTGCATTTTGTTTATCAAAATCCTCTATATCTAGCATTTCTCCAAACCTAATTTAAAAAAAAGATAATCAAATGGTGGCATTTAGATAATAAAAATTCCCAAAGTGTTACCTGAAGTCAAGAAAAAATACATTCTGTTTAAATTATTATTTTTTGGTCATTTACTGGTAATACAAAAAGAAGATAAAGTAGATTGCCTTTGTAATAGCAATTAATATGATGTATAAATAAAAGAGTAAGAGAAAAACACTTGTGGAAAGATTAGAAAATTAGATGATTAGCTGAACAGGCCACCCTAGAAATAGATCAGATTAGATATAAGAATATATATAATATGATCAAAGATGAAAGAAAAAAAGATGATGCAATAAATTAGTTTGTTTATAAAATAGTCAATTTGGAATTTAACTCCATACCATCTATTTAATCAAATCCCAAATTAATTAAAGAATTAAATTTAATGAATCAAACTATTAAAGCAATCTAGAAGAAATACATATAAATTTCTATACTGAGAAGTTTTTTTGAGCTTAAAAGTAGTGGATAAATCAGTATGAAAGACTCAAAACATATTTATTTAAGGCCAGCCAGTCTTCCTAATGGACTTTAAATTTTTGAAGGGCAAGACTTTTGTATGTTTTGTTCATTATGTATATCCAATGCTTAGTTATAGGTAGGAAATTAGTTCTCAATAATCATTTATTGATTAAAAATAAAAAAACCAAGATTTCTACATGTAAAAATTAAATATAAGTGCTATGAGATGCAAATAATAAAGTTGTAATATATTTTCAACTAATATAAAAATTAGAATTCTTGATATTCAAAACATTTATAGCACTGGCTGGAGTGGCTCAGTTGGTTGGGGCACTGTCCTGCAAATCAAAAAGTCAAGGGTCTGAATCCTGGTCAGGGCACATGCTGGGGTTGTAGGTTCAATCCCAGACAGGGTGTGTACAAGAGGCAACCAGTTGATGTTTCTCTCTCATGTACATGTTTCTCTCCCTCCCGTCCCCTCTCTGTAAAACTCAATAAGCATGTTCTTGGGTGAGGATAAGGAAAGAAAAGAATTTATGGAAATCAGTAAGAAAATACCAAAACTCCAATATCAACAGGGAAAAAGAATATGAAGAAATAATTCACCAAAAAGAAATATGGAAATGGCAACAATTAAGCATGTTAATAAATGATGTACAAATCAAACTAACAGAACATCACTTCTTTTCCTGTGATATAAGCAAACAATAGAAGTGGTTTGCCTGTAGTTAGCACAGACCCCAGAAAAATTTGGAATAATAACGCAGTCAGGAAAATACTTTAGGAATATATATGAAAAACTATAAAAATGCTTATATGTTTTGGTCCAGACTTTATCTAATACACAGATTTTCATTCAATAAATATTTGTTAGGTGCCAATTACATGCCAATTACTGTAGTTTTTAATTCTGGGAAGCTACCTTATGGAAATAATTGGAAAGTCAGGTAAAGGCTTGATGTAGAAAGATGTTTGGTAAATTATTACTTAGAATAAAGAAAAACTGGAAACACATACGCAGGGTAAGGAGAATTCAGTCCCAAATGGTCATTTTAACACTCACATGGTATGCAAATATTTGAGAAAAATACATATAAGAAAAAAAAATCACTGAGAACAAATGTCAGATGAGAATGTTTAAACTAAAACATACCTTCTTCAATATTGGAAGTACCCCTTGTAGTTTGCTTTGGCTGACTTGAACTTAGCTGGACACTTGGTCCAAAATTCTATAAAAATAGAATATTAAGTCAACATAATTCTGTATTTAATATCCATATTTATATATACATTGACTTAAGAAAGTGTTATTTGCTATATATATTTTCAACTATCACTGTTCATGTAACTTGAATATTTTCTTTGTTTTTGAAGTAGAAATCAAGGATAACTGAAATAAGGCCTTTCTATGATATCACAATATTTAAAAAATGTTTTATGTCAATTTTGAAAACTGTTCAGGTTGCAGTGTTGTCTTGGATATATGGAAGGGGGAAGTTGGGTGGCAATAAAAAGTGCTAATTAAAGAAAAGTTAAAAAAATTACCTTAAGGTTTATAACCTAGTTGATTTGTCATAGCAAGGGCAAATCACACCTACTAGCCTAAAGCCTCGGATTATGGCTATTGTCAAAGGATAGGTCAAGTATTTTAGAAGACAAAACTTAAATCAGAAATAGCTGCCTTAAACCTGCGTAGCACTTGGGAAATGGGCAATCTCAGAGCACTGGCAATTAGTATACCCCCTTAACATTTTCTGAGGGATACCAACTCTCCTTCCCTGGCTAGGTTCTACTTTACTTCCCTACTGTCGTTCTGTTCCACTTTAAGAAATGACTTTTTAGGAGATAAAATTGCCAGCCTATGACTAGACCTCGCCTTTGTTCAGTCTGAGCTGAAGACTAACCAATGCAGGTTTCTGCAACAGGCCTCCTTCAACAGCTCTTGTATAGCCTTGCCTCATTTCCATCACAGACTTGGGACACCTTGGGCTAAGACCCTGGCATGAAGTGCTTTTCCTGTCTTTCACTGTTCTCTTAGATTCTCTCCACACAGAAGTAGTGGGCTGGAAAAATTCCAGGATGATAAAATATATTTCCTAATAGAAGGTGACGGGCCAGTGCTATAGTAACTGAACCCAGAAACCAAAAAAACCCTCAAAACCCCAAACCTCAAATCAAAGCAAAACAATAGAATTGAGAAAGTTACACTTCAAACTTGATTTTGATGCAGGAACACTAACTTATATTTTAAAGCTAACTTCGGAGCCTATGTAAAGGGGGTATGTGAGTAGAAGATGTGTATGTGAAAGTGGAGGTATGGCTCTTGGAAAGAAAGACAAATATGACATTCTAAAGACCATAATACGGAAGATAAAGGAGGAAGACAAAGAAGAACAGGGTAAGACTTGGAAAAATAAAGATGAATTTAAAGAAGACACTAATAATAGCCATTTAAAATTTAATTTGTCCCTTTTTTGTTATAACAACATGTTACTTTTAAATTTAAAATAATAAAATAAAAATAAAGAAAAATTTCGTTCTGTTTATAGATTTTGAGATGTTTGATGTGAATAATAAAGAAGTTAAAAAGGGAACTTACTAGGCACTATAATATTTGTAATCAGGAAGTTATGTTTATAATAAATACTATGATATTAATAAGAATATATTGATAACTGAACAACTTAATTTACATAAATAAATGACTTTTGTTTTGCCAATAAGTTATATTATGGTTGATTGTTCTCCATATGAATAATCGTGTTCATATAAAAAATCAATAGCTTCTATAACATGCAAATAATAGTATCCTCAACCTATAACTTAGAACAGAAATTCTTCATAAGGTACTATGTCACTTCTATAAAAACATCAGAAGTGGTATTTATAGTAGAAACTCCAAGTGAAATGCTATTCACTCACCTAGAATTTTTAATATTTTAAATTCAATCCTTTGATCAAATTAGACTCTAAGAAAATGTTATATTTATGTCACATTTACTTAGTCTCACAGAATTGCCTCCACTAATTTTAAAATTAATAGTATTATGCTTTTGACTTTTATTAAAGATCTCTACTTCAAACAGCCATATGAAACTCCCTATTTATTCATGTTGACTGTTAATATGGATGTGTCCATTATGAACTTTAAGGTCCTCACTGGAAAATGTCTTTTAAATAGTATACTTCAAACAAAATCATTATCAATATCTGCTGACACCTATATACCATCTTATTTTTCTTTTTAGCATGTCTTCCAGGAAGCTCAGATTCAAACAGAGTATTTAAACACAGGGAACTATATTAGTCTATGTGATTAGCATATTTTCTTCCTCTAAATATGGATCTAATTTACTTTTCTTTTTTCTTTCTTAATGTATGCTTAAGTAACTTTATTGTGAATGATGAATAATCTCAGTTTTCTTTCCACAGTTGACTATGTAGCAAATAAGTTAGTACAGCAAGCTCCTAGCATAGATTCCAAGGCTGCTTCACAATAGCTATGGATACACTTATATTTGTGTTGTGGTGCAGTTTATAGCAAGAGCACAGTCCTTAAGAACATTCTGTTTTTCAAGCAGTTTCCCACCATTCAATAGGGATTTTTACAAACAATGTACTTACATTCATTTGCTCACTGCACTTCTGTCCTACAGATCCAGGGTTTTGTTTTTCTGCTCTAAGAGTTCTCTTTTTATTTCCAACAACTCGTTTTCTTCTCGTAACAGCAGAATCTTAAAAAATGCCAGGACAATGTCAAATTTATAAAGATTGAGTAGGTAGTATATACCCAACAAAACTTCCCAATTACCTTCAAACATCACAGAAAAACTTTGTTTCGGTCAGCAAACTTTTATCGTTTTATATAATACCCTCTTAATATGCATTATTCATGGCACATTTGCAAGGATGAGTTAAACAAAATCTCTGCTTTTGAGGGGTTTACAGTTTAGAGCAGTGACCTTCAAAGTGTGGTGCAACACCAAAATAAATCACTGCTGTGCAGGAAGAACATACTAGAATTTTACTTTATGTTTATGATCTAAAAATTAATAATTAAACTTTATACTATGGTGGTGCAGTTGACCCTTGAATAATGTGGGGTGGGCGATGTTAGTGGCACTGACTGCCCATGCAGTTCAAAATCCTGTATAACTGGCCCTCCGCACTCCCAGATTTCCAACTGTGGACGGAAATTTGTATGTGGTTAATATCGGCACCCTCGTCAGTCTGGAAGATAAATGGTCACTTATTGCACACAGAAACAAAGTTATCTTGGAGGAAGAGTAGAAATTCTAAGTGTGTGAGGTTGGCAGTGTTATTCATTAATGAATTTTTGCTTTCTTCGACATGCTAAGTTTTATATGTGCTCTAGTAAGTGGATTATGGATATTTTGTAGTATCCGAATGAGTCTTTATAAAATGAGAAAAAACCTAAAAGAGACTTTTGTAGGGCCACAATTACATGGGTAATGTTTTATTATTTAAGGTGAGCGATGGGTGAATAAATATTTGTATTATTTTTCTATGTATATTACTAATTAAAATATATTTTGCCAAGTCATAGATCAAAGATAATAGAAATAACTTATGCACAGGTAGATAAGAAAAGCACAGCTGACACACCTCTTATTCTCACTGCTATCTCTTTGCCACATAACAGCAATGACAGTATAATTATGTTTCTAACAAGGATAGGATCACAAGTAAAAATTACCCCAAAATTATAATAATAAACTTCATCCTGAATACATATCATGCCTGGAGCTATTAACTAATGATAGTACATGAAATGAAGTCATTGAAATTGATAAGGCATTTGAACTATGTTTTCAGAGGATTATTAATAATATATGATAGAAAAATATTTTATATATAAAATTATTTTATAATTAAAGTGTATTATTTATAAAACACAAAATTTCAGAATTATTTTTAAAGTATTTGTTTTTATCTTAGTGTTTAAAAATTTCTCTTTCTGGTTAAGGTGCTTAATGTGTATTAGTACAGTAATACATGTTTATGGCATAAATATATGTGCTCCAAATATTTACTAAAAGTGATACTTAACAAATTTTGGAGTCCATTAGTTTAGAAAGATTTAAATGGCTTATTACAGTAAAATGGACACACATAAATTGTACATAAAGTCATAAACAGAATTAAGTGAAAGTACAGAGGGCAGAGTGTCCTTGTAAGAATCAAGGCAGGTTTCACAGAGAAGGTTATGCCTGACCTCAGTCTTAAAGGAAGAGTAGTTTTCCAAGTAAAAGGACTTTTTCAGTCAAAAAGAACATTATGTGCAAAGTCACAAAGTAACAATGATGAAGATGTTAAGAAATTTTGTGGGGGCCGAAAGGTAGAAAATTCAACTAGTCTGGGGCACAGAATGTAAGTGTGTGTAAGTACACAAATATCTTAAAAAGTATTATGGGAGTGTGCATGTGTACTTTTGCAATAAACGTTCAGGTACAAGATAAAAAGTGAACATATTTTTAGCCCTGAAATTATGTACTAGACAACATGAGTTTGAAAATTGAATCCAATTTGTTACTATAGCTACTACATATATATCCATATTGTAGCCATATATATGTATATAGTTATATGCATATACTATAACTACACATATATAACTACATATAACTGTATGTCATTCTAATCTATATAATAACAAAGACACAAAAGCTTTCAACTTTTAAGAATGTTGGTTAGTAACTGAACATCTGATCTTTTAGAGTAAGAAGTAATAGTAAAAGTAAGAAATAGTAACATAATTCTACTTAATATTTGTTGAGCATTTATAATTGCCCTGGCTGTTCTAAAGCTATAGACACTATTGTCATCACTAATGTTACAAATAAATTAAGGCATAGGAGAGGATAAATATCTTGTCTCAGGTTACAGAGTCAGACAACAGCAAGATCTGGGATTTAGCTTCAGTTAAATTTCTAAAATTCAAAATTCTAGCTCTTACCCTCCATGCTAGTAATTTTCATTCTGATTTGACTGTCTCACAGAAAGAAACATACCTTGCATAGTGAGCCAGAATGCATATATACATTTTTGTGAAATATATTTACCCTTACAATATATGATGCACCCTGGTAAATTTTATTCTAGAACAATTTGATTCTAAAATTATATTTCATTAAAAAATTCCAGTTACCACTTACTAGGTTGATTTCACAATCCACTAAGTCATCACCTATAGTTTAGAAAGCACCAATTACGTTTACTCCCACCCATATGGGGATGCTAAATGGTAAGTAAGGTTAGATGCGAGATATTCTAAGTGAAATAATTTGGACAAAGTTTCTAGACTGTTCTCTGTGCTTGGAATTGTCTTCCCTATCTTGTGAAGTCCCTATCTTGGCGTTTTTGAAGGGCTTTAAAAATGCCTTAAATGAAAATTAACTTGGCCATATAATTGCTAAGTCAGGATTTTTTCCCTTCCTTCACCCTGTTCATAAATTTTCTAGAGACAAGATCTACTGATATTTTTATACTTCCTTGTTTTGTAACATAATTATTTGTTTTTGTGCTTTACTGTTCTTTGTGTAGATAGATAGATGTTCAGTTTTAGAGATCGTACATTATTGACCCCAGGAGAAGACATAGTACATGTTTAAAACTATGTATTATTCCACTCACAAGCATGAACTTAAATACTATCTACTAATTAATAACTGAAAAACTTGCTATTTTTGCAAAAATAATATAGTTCGCACTGGCCAAATCTCTAGCCTTCAATAAAAATTCTAGTTATGATAGGTTTACTACCAAAAATAAAAATAAACCTTTATGTTAATTGTCTTAATGCCCATTTTCCTGAGGACTGAAGCTGAGGTTTATTGTCCATGTTGGCTATCCTCTTCTGTGAAAAACTCATTCAGATATTTTGGCTTTAAAAATATGGGTGTGATGGTCTTTTGGATGTGTCACCTAATCTACAGTCCTCAGTTACTCAGTCAAACACTAATGCAGGTATTGCTGTGAAGGTATCTTATAGATGTTATTCAAATCCATAATCAGTTTGCTTTAAGGGAGATTATCCTAAATAATCGTGTGTGTACCTGATTAAATCAGTTCAAAGGCTTTAAAAACTGGACTGAGGCTTCCTTGAGAGAATAAAAAATTCTGTTGGTGGATAGAAATTTCAGTTTACTCCTCCTTTCCTGATAAGCTGCCCTAAAAAATTTCAGATTTGCCTAGACAACCCCCATTTTTACATAAGCCAATCAATCCCTTGCAATAAATCTTTTTAAAAAATATTTTATTTACTTATTTTTAGAGAGAGGGGAAGGAAAGGAGAAAGCATGGGAGAGAAACATCATTGTGTGGTTGCCTCTCATGTGTCCCCTACTGGGGACCTGGCCCACAACCCAGGCATGTGCCCTGACCAGGAACCACCCCAGTGACCCTTTGCTTCACAGGCCTGTACTCAATCCACTGAGCTACACCAGCCAGGGCCCTTGCAATAAATCTTAATATATCTTATTGGTTCTGTTTTTCTAGTTGCACTCTGACTGATATAATTGGGTTGTCTTCTTCTTATTAATTGTAGGAATTTTTCATGTATTTGGGATATGAGCTCTTTGTTATATATTATATAATTTATTATATATATTATATTATATATTATAATAGTACTATATATTATAAACATATTCTCTTACTCCATGGTTCGGAGTACTATATATTATAAATATATTCTCTTACTCCATGGTTTGCCTTTTCAATATCTTAATGGTATTTTTAGATAAAGATGTTTCTAATTTTCATGTATAATTTGTCAATCTTCTCCTTAATGGTTAGTGTTATTATGTCTGGGTGGGAAATCCCTGTCCATTCTAAAGTCTGTGTTATCTTCTAGAAGCATTTCTTTTTCACTTTTCATATTTATATCTACAGTTTACCTGGAAGTGAGTTTTATGTATAGTGTAAGTTAAGGGTCATTTTACTAATACTACATGATCATCTAAATGACTTAGCACTTCTTAGGGAAAAGATAGGTCTTTTCTCCCTGCTATGCAGTACCACTTTTGCCAAAAATCAAGCATGTGGGTCTAAAATATGTGGGTGTGTTTCTAGACTGTATTCTGTCCCATGGTCTAAACATGGTTGTACAGATACCATATTGTAGTCAGAGAGGATGATGTAAACGGAATCACTGATTTTAGATGTAGAGAAGTTATGGGTGTTGACAAGATTCAGGAGATGACATAGGAAATGGGTACTTGGGCAGAATGTTACAGAAAATCATTAGAGATGAGCAAGAATTGAGAGATCAGTGTTGGATGGCTCAGCCCCATAAATGCTGAATTAGCAGTATTTTGGTAAAGACTGCACAGAAAGGTAGAATGTGAACCAGATGCCAAAGTCATCTTTGAGGGAAGAAATGACTTGAGAGGTCAGGAGGTGGTATAGTTGAATGGCTTGGGCCTCAGGGGAATCGAGTTTTTACTGGAGAGTTTTGTTTGAGCATTCTAGAAATGCTAATGGAGAGGAAGAGGCTCCATAGTTTCCAACCCTGGATACACTGAGTGTGAATAAAAATGACCTGGAAAGTAGGAAAGTAGGAGAGTAGGGAAAAAATGAACAGATGCTCATTGAACTATAATCCAGTATTAGTAAAAGGTTCATTTGCAATGCTCAGTATTTAAATTGTTTTCAAAAATAAGTTTGACTGAACAAAGTATTTAGTATTGGTAATATTAGATTTTCTATGTATAATCACTGTATTAGGAAGTACAGACATATACAACAGTTTGAATAATTCTATCTCTTTAAAAAGATGGCTGAAAAATGTTAAAATTCATTAAAATTTTCCATTGTCTCTTATACAAACATCCCTAAGAACTACCTCATCTGATTAAATATTGGTTTCTCCAGATGAACATATATATTCTTTTATCAGAGAATGAGAATATAACTTTAATATGCTACTCATTTATGTTTAAGCTATTGACAAACTATGTTTCTTAATATTTTTCCTGATCAGCTTAGACTGATATAAATTTTACTTAATATATATAACATTTTTGATATTTATTATATAGTTTTAGTGGAAAAAACATAAAACTTGGAGTCATAGATATTTGGATTAAAATACCAATTTTGCTATTTACTAGTTCTTGTCCTTGAGCAATTCTATTTCCTTCTTTGCCAGTGGTGTTATAGAAATAGTTATTTCTCAGGGTTGTCATGAATTATAAATGCGACAATAAGTATAAAACACTTGGCACTGTAACTGGCACAGAGAAGGAACTCAAAAAAGGTAAGCATCATAATTTATCTATCACTATCACTTTAGAATGTCAAATCTGTATCATGCTTTCATCTTTTGGAGGCAGTGTGAAAACTGAAGTTATATTGTGAAATGGCTGGATAAAAAGAGATGGCATCACAGTGAGTTAGAACAAATGTGTGACAGTGGAAGAGTTCTTTTATGATTCCACTCTGGTGAGAGATATAATTTTTTTTATTCCAGGTTTTTATAGATAAATACAAAAGATTTTTGGATTAAAGCTTTCCATCTGCCAATATGGCTTGTGTCCATTCACTATAAGAAAAGTTTGGGTGCATATTAAGTTCCAGGCACAGTTAGGACCTTTGGATGCAGTGATGAATTACAAAAAAGGCCCTGGTTCTTAAAATCTCATGGTCTAACTGAAGACTTTATATATTCAATGTTAAATTAACTCTCAATTTCTATCTCTTCAATATGCATTCATATCTTTGGGAAAAGGAAAGCATTGCTTTTCTGATTCTCCCCACCTCTCCTCCAAGTCCTATCTATTGTTCAATAGGCGACTGGTTCCCACTGGTAGAAAAATTTATGGGCTCCTAGTCCATTCCCTCAGAGGAAAGTAGCTTCACGAGGCATCACCAGCTACAAAGGGCAATGACATTCTGTAGAAAAATAATTTTCAAAAATGTTTAAAGGAACGCTATCATTTTTTCTCTATATGAAAACCAACATCTATAACAGTAGAGCTGCCACTCAGAAAGGGAATGGAAGGGTTTGGCACACCTATCATTAACTTATAACAACTCAATTTAGCAAACATTTTTAAAAGTAAAGGAAAGTATTATAACATTTATTCATTTATTTAGAATAATTTAAACATTTTTACTGTGATTATCTGATAGACATTTTGACTGTAATATTGGGGATGACAGAATAAATGACATGGGATAAGAATTAGACCCTATTCTTTGTCCTTCCACTTTTAAACTAACAAGAAAAGTCATAGAAAAAATGGAGGCTAGCAAAAGTTTCTGATTTTAGTTGAGCAAATACTGCTTCTAGATAGATAAGGATACAAGGAAAATGTTTCTATAAAGTTTTTAACATTAATATCTATAAGGTATATACTGCTATGCCCTAACAAGAAAATTTTTATGTGAATTTTAAATGTTGTACATTTTGTTTATAAAAATATGTAAATTTATTCTTACCAGCAGGCTTTTCATTTTGACTCAGAATATTATGCTGTCTTTTCCATGAGGGAAGAGATTCTTCTTTAATAGGTCCAAAAGCCACAGAGTGATGACTTTCTTCATAAACAGGACACCTTTGGGTGCAATATAATGTTCCATCTTGGTGGGCAAAAATTTCGGTGCTATTTGAATCATTTATTTTTGCTACAGTGTGGCACTCAGAAGAACAATATGGTAGAGATGGCACCACAGTGACTGAGTCAGAATAAACATGTGAGAGTGGAAGACTGCTTTCTTTATTCCACTGATTCAACTTGTATTCTGTTGGAAGCATATGTTTTGAATTAAAATAGCTATTTGTAATAACATTTTGAGAATTTTCAGGCATTTCTGAATGACACTGAGATACTTGTATATTTTTATCACTCCTAATATTTGATGGAGATTTAGGAGGATGAGGTGCAATTAATTTACCCTGAGCTTGTAAAAATGTGTTGGCTTTGCTTGCGGACTGTGTTCGAATAACTGTGCCTTTTCTGTTTGGATATACAAACCCCGACTGAACTTTAGCAGATTTTGTTCTAATTACCTTTGCTTTCTCTCTTTGTAGATTAGCTTTCTGAGTTTTAGAATTACTGCTACGTATAGTAGGAGATTTACTTTCTTCTTTTTCTGAGGCTGACCAGGCTTGTTTAGCAATGTTAAAATCTGAAGATACATAACAGTTCCAAGAAGCATGGCTAGTTCCAGATCCTCCCAAAACAGCAACGTTTTCAGAGACAGAATCATCCATGGGCTTTTTTGTATCAGCAGAATTTACAGTGCAAGAAGGAACACTAAGTATATTGCTGGCAGTACCCTGATCAGTTTGAATGTGGAGTGGTTGAGACCACTGTTGAGATATTTCTACTTTATTTTTCAGTAAATGATTATCTTTAGCATTTTTTCCTGTATCTCCAGCTTCATCAAACCACCTCAGTTTTTTAATAGTCTTTGGAACTTCTGCACTTTTTCCTTTTTCTTTTGTTAATTCAATACTATCTCTGATAGCTTCTGCTTTTTCATTTCCTAACTTAAAGCTTTGATTTATAACTAGTGCCTCGAAATAATCATGTTCATACTTAGATTCTTTTTTTAAAATACTTTTAAGAAACCTTACACTGCTTCTCTCATGAATATTGTGTCTCATTTTTTTGTGCTGACCAACTAAGTCATAATTAGAAATTATGTTAGACAATGATGCAGATGTTTTAGTTATTTTCTGTTTTTTATTTTTTGAATCAGAGTTGTGAGGTATATGGGCAGCTGGAAAATTGTCTGAAAATAAAGGCAATTCTTCTGTACTACAATTAAAATATTTTATCTTTTCATTTTTAACATCTTTCAATTCTCCTAATTTATCAGAACACTGCACTGGGTTGATTTCTTTTATGTGCATACTATTCTTTGGTAAAGGTTTAGCTGATTGTGTATTAGGTGACAAAAATAAAGGTGTTGCCACAGGTACAAATGAAATAGGAGTTGAAGTAGTTCTATTTTCTTGAGTTAATTTTGAATATTTCTTGTTGTCTGAAATTGTAGCCATCTCTTGAGTGAGAGAATCTGGAGTGTTCCAGGATTTGTTGAATTTAAATGTTGGTCTTTCAGAACCAAAAGGGCTCTCCCTTTTGGATGCCCCAGAACAGGAGTCAGTTGTCCTCACAGTGCTATTTTCAGAGGTCTTTTTGCTTTTTTTATCGGGTATAAATATGGGTGGACTACATACAAAGCCTACTAGATTATTGGCAGTATTTGTAGCTCTTTCCGCAGTTCTACATACAGCAGATGGATTTTGTTCTTTACTATAAAAACATTCACGTGAAGGCAGAACATTAGTTTTACTTAAAATATCTGAGAAAGATTTGGCATTTTGAGTATTTGGATCATCTAAATTTATTAGCCAATTATTTATATGTTGAGTTTTAGAGAATGACAGTTTATCTTCATCAAAGCAGCTTAGATTAGTTGATTGTAGATTTGCTGATTTGAGGAAAACAGAACTCTGCTGGATTGATGTGGAAGGCTCCTTATTAATAAGTGTTAAATAGATTTCTTCATGTTCTCCAGCCTCAAGACTGTCTACACTTGAAAGGATTTCAGAATTTGTTATCTGATAAACTTCATCACGAAATTTCTGAAAGAAAAAAGAACAAAGTTTTATAGCTTAGAAATTGTTTTAAATGCCAAAATTTTCCATTCAACACATTGTTATTACTGAGCCCATTTCTTCTTGGATGTAAAATACAGTAATATGATTATTTACAGTGTAACAAAGAGTCTATATTCCTAGAGTAGTCCCCAGAGTGAAAAAAGGGAGCTAACAAAGACTTTAGTAATAAAGTTGTTGCGTAAGGTAACTATCCGATTGTTCTAGACAGTTATAGCTTAGAAAATAATTTTGCTATTGCTATAACACCCAGAGTATGAAGATTTCATAACAGCATGTGAAATCCTGAAAATGTTATTTACAAATGGTATTTTTTCCTGAAACATTCACTGGACTCGAATGAAACTTCTAAAAGTGCTATGATTCTAATGTGCGTTTCCTATTGGAAGGGCTACATTTTTAAAAAATAAAAGTTAATGTCATGGTCTACACAGCAGAGTTCTCAACTCTGGGTGCAGGTTTGAATTACATAAGAAGCTTTGTAAAAACACCTATGTGTGCGTCCTGCTGATTTAATATTTGGATGGGATCCATGGGTTGGTATTATTATTTTAAAATCCCCTAAATTATTCTAATATGGACTTAGGGTTGAAAACTTGATTTTTAGGGGCCTCTTTTTTAGAGATTTATCAGAGTAATAATTTCAATAAATTCCATAGATGTTCTCATAACTATGTCACTGAATGTTTATGGACTTTATCAGTCTTTAATAAAATTTCATTATTACTTCAAAGTATGGTAAATGTTTAAAAATGTTTCTAATTTCTTAAACATATCTAGAATACATTAATTTTGTATTATGTAGAAATAAATTCAAGAATAATTTAAATTGTAAATGTAGTAAAAAAGTTAGGTGGACTCAAAGAAAGAAAATTAGTGTTCCATGATTTTTCACAAATTTTTTAAAAGTTAAATATTCTGATACTAAACCAAAATATACTATTTTTACAGTCCAGAAAATAAACTAAAAAATCAAGAAAATCAGTTATAGAAGTATTTTAGTTTGCATAGTTTGTGTTTATTGATTGATACATTATTGCGAAACAAGTTTGAAAATGAATTCGTAAGAGTTTGTTTGTTATTACTTGTATTTGGAACCTGCCCATCACATCCTTCAGTACTGTGATATATTTTTAAAGTGTTGGTCATTTAACCTAATCACGAAGACAAAACAGAGTGTAGCTCCTTCAATGCCTGTTTTTGAAGCTGAGTTATTTTAATTAGTAATGATAAAGAAACTAGAACCTCTTCCTTTGAGACTGCATATAATGAGATACAGAAGTCTGGGTTAGAAGGTCCTTCTAAATGAATGATGTCCATGGCTCTAAAATTTCCATTTGAATAGGTCTGTAATGGCCTCATCTCCCAAAGCACTTCAAAACAAGTTCAGTAACTTCTGATTTCACTACACTAGATTTTTTCCCCAGAATTTTTCTCACCACTAAACAATGAAACATGATAAGCTTCAAGTTTTGCTTGTAAGTTACTGATATAAATTGTATTAGACTTAAAATGCTTTGTGTTTTAATCAATTTTATTGAGGATGCTTATGTACAATAAAATGTACTTATTTTAAATGTATATAGTTGAATGGATTTTGATCAATTTTTCAATGTAACCACTATACCAAACAATATATAGAACTTTTCCATCTGCCAAAAGTTCCTTCATGCTTTTTGTAGTCAATCCCTGCTCACCAGAATAACCACTAATCTATTCTTTGTCACTATAGATACTTCTGCCTGACCATCGTGCTGTAGCATTTCTTGTAGTTCAGATGCTGTTGTTGTGCACTGGTATTCAGTTGTTGTTTATTTGAAAATGCCTATTTTGCCGTCATTTTAGAGTGATATTCTAGTTGGATACAGAATTCTGGGTTGGTCATTTTTTTCTTCTCTCAGAACTATGAAAATGTTTCACTGTCTTTTGGTTTGAAGGTAGTGGTCCACCTTATCTTTGTTCATGCCTACATAATGTATCTTTTCCTCTTCTCATTTAATTTAATTTTCATGTGCCTTTGATGTGTGTTTGCCTCTGTGTGTGTTCATAAATGTACATGCTTATTCTTCTTGGAGTTTACTGAGCTTCTTGGATATGTTGATTTATAGTTTTATCAAATATGAAACATTTTTAGTCACTGTTTCTTTAAATATTCCCTCCCCCCCCTTTTGGGATTTTAATTAAATGTATGCTGTATTTCTTGATATAGTCTCACAGGTCAATAATGTTCTGCTTATTTTTTCTAGTCTTTTTCTCTCAGTGATTCAATTGGATGATTTTTATTGCCATGTCTAGGTGTCCACTGATCTTTTTTTCTGTAATGCCTACACTGTTAAGCCTATCCAGTGAAATTTTCATTTTAAATATTATGCTTTTCAGATCTAGAAGGTCTATTTGGTTCCTTTAAAATATCCTTTTTCATTATGTTCCTTTTTACTTTAATTCCTTGAAAATGTTTATAAACATGGTTTTAAATTCCCGTCTGTTAATTCCATCATCTCTATGATTTCTTTTTTTTTAAATTTTATTTAGTTATTTTTCAAGTACAGTTTTTTGTCTATTTTTCCCATCCCAGCCTCCCCCATCCCTTGCTCCCCACCTCCCTCCCATTTCCACCCCCCTTAGTTCTCGTCCCTGTGTCCTTCCTATTTGTTCCTCCAAATCCCTCCCCCTTTTTCCCCTTAACTTCCCTTCCTTCTCCCCTCTGGTCACTATCCCCTTGTTCTCTATTTCAGTGTCTTTGTTTTTTTTTTTCTGCTTGATTGTTTGTTTTGTTGTTTAGCTTCCTGTTAAAGGTGAGATCATATGGTATTTGTCTTTCAGCACCTGGCCTATTTCACTCAGCATAATGCTTTCCAGTTCCATCCATGTTGTTGCAAAAGGTAGTAGCTCCTTCTTTCTCTCTGCAGCATAGAATTCCATTGTGTATATGTACCACAATTTTTTGATCCATTCATTTACTGATGGGCACCTAGGTTGCTTCCAACTCTTGGCTATTGTAAATTGTGCTGCTATGAACATTGTGGTGCATAGGTTCTTTGATATTGATGTTTTAGGATTCTTAGGATATAATCCCAGCAGTGGAATTGCTGGGTCAAAAGGCAGGTCGATTTTTATTTTTCTGAGAAAATTCCATACTGTTTTCCATAATGGTTTCTATGCCTGATTATATTGACTAATTTTTTCTTATTTATGGACTATATTCTCCTGCTTTCTCACATGTCTAGTAAGTTGTGATTGAATGTTGGACATTGAGAGAATTATGTCATGTGTCGAGATTTTAGTCTTCTTTAAGAGAGTGTTAAGTTTCTTTTTTATTTCTTTTTCTTTTGACAGGAAGTTGGGTAACCCATGGATTTCTTTGAGGGTTATCCATAGAATATGTCCAGGTAAGAAGCTTCTATGATCATAGAGTTTATCTCATTTGTTTCCCTGTTTTTCCAAGACCATGTCCTGTACTACCTATCATCTAATGTCTAAAACATTTGTTTCATACATTTCATTCAGAATTGTAGTTATTTATGGCAGGAAGGTAGTTTATCATAGCCAGAAGAAGTTGCCTGCTTTGCTATTTTATCTTTGCCACAATTGCTTAGCAATTGAATGAATCAGGCCAATGTTATGAATTTAATCTTGATATTGGTCTACTAAAAATCTGATAAATGTGTATAATTACTCATGAAAAATAAAGTGCATGAACATTTCAGGAAAATCAGCTGAAACCCCACTCACTGGTGGAATAATAACATAGTAAGTGCCCTAAGTGATAGAATAGAAACACCATTTCTAGCCGATTGTACCCTATTTTCATTAAGAAACTAATGGCCACATGTGTTATAATTTTCAGATTTCATTTTAGAATCCAGTCTCTAACAGCAACATGTATTATTTTGTACTCTCAAATAGCTTTCATGTATGTCAGACAGTAACATTCATAAGAAATATTTTTCTAAACATGAGATAAAAAAGAATAGTGGATGTAGAGAGAAAAATGAATAAAAGGTAAGTAAAAATCTAAGAAATTATTTTTCTGGTATCTGTGATGAATATGTACTGATTCATTCGCATTCTCTCTCATGGCCTAAACTTGGCAAATGGCATACATTTCCTCAGTGGAAAACACTGCAAAATGGACAGAATTATTATTAGATCTTAAAACATTAATACCATATTTATAATGTCATACTTGCAAACTGCTTAGATGCTGATCTTCTAGGAGTTTCTGAGTTTCCACTAGTTTAAGCTGGAATGCATCTTTGTTAGCAGCCAAATCTGTCCTGCTGTTTTCGTTCATTTCTTTATCACAATTGGTTTTGGATAAGAGATGTTTCTGATGCTTCTGATCATTTTTTGATAGTGATGAAGGTAAAGTATTATCTATAGCTCTGTGAACCATACATAAAAAAATGCTTAGTACATTTAAATAAAGTTAACTTCTTTTTATATACACATAAATGACACATTCATGTAGTGTGTGTGTCCAGATAACCACATATACGGATATTGGAGAAACATATAGACATATTAGAATGGGAATTTAAGGCAGTCAGTAGTAAAATAAAAATGGTTGTGGGATTATAGTTCTAATAAAGGACTCCACCTTCATGTAAGAATGCCCAGTTATTCATGGCTTTATTAAATCCAATTCCTGTATTGTTTAGAAAGGATAAAGGAGGAATTCCTTTGGATGTGTAGAGTTAGTCCTCAGTTCTTTAAGAGCTTTCCTATCTGGATAATAATAATTTGCATTGCCCTTAGCTTTGAGTTAAAGTCATGACTAGTAAGTATTCCTATAACTCTAATAAAGTTGGTCAAAGATTCAGGTTAGGCAGGAATTTCCATTTTAGCTTATTAGTTTTGGGTGCTTGGATCTTACTCCATGGAGGAGTCTTGCATGCATTTGTTTTCAGTACCACATATATAAGCATGTTTTTTTAATGTCACAGAGGGTACCTTTAATGTAGAGTCTACTTTTAGTGTGCCAGAATGACACCCCCAAATCATCAGGGGATGATGTCATCTTCTATTAGAAATCTGCATCTTGTAGAAACTTATAGCATGTTATATTTCAGCATATGTACAAAAGGAAAAACAAAGAACAAAGGGAAGATTTTGGGTGGAGGTGGGATGGGGATGAGGTATATAAAAAAGGTGACTGCTGCTGCACTGGGGCCATTAGTGTGAATCTCAAGGGCATTTCTTTCTAATTCATTTGAATTCAATTACTAAAGTCAGTGAAGGCAGAAATGTTTTGGAAGGTGAGGTATGCAACATATACCTATCTCCAACACCCATATATATCTTTATTTGGACAAACTGAAATAGTCTGGGTCAATGAGTACTAGATTCCTGACTATCTTTTTGTGACCACGGGGAAATCAGAGCAAGAAGTTATTTAACACAAATTTCTGAACATTGAAAGTATGTTTCTGTCTCTTCATTTTAGGCCTTTCTACTCTTACATATTCCTTCCTTCAGTTACCCTTCCCAAACAAAATATTGCTAAATCTACAAAATATCTAATAAACTCAATTTATTTACTTTTAAAGTTGCCATCTCTCATTTTTCTTCATTTCTTTCTTTGCCCTTCCCAAACAAAATATTGCTAAAGCTATGAAATATCTAATAAACTCAATTTATTTACCTTTACAGTTGTCGTCTCTCAACTTTTTCTTCTCTATTTCTTTCTTCGCTACTCCACTTGCTTCTCTTCTCTTCTCTACTTTCTTCCCCCAGGGAGGAGGATTAAAGGAATGGATGGGAATAAAAGGAGATGGGGAGGTAGAAAGAGAGGGAGAGTGAAGCATAGGGGGAAAGGAAGAAGAAATAATAAAGGAAGAAGATACAGGAGAAATTGGAGACGGAAAATCTAAATAAGTGGGAAGTAAACATGGAGAGGGAGTTGAATGCAAAGGTGAGGAAAAAGGAGGGTTAGATGAGGGAGGTAAGGATGGACAGGAGGAGGAAGAAGGTGAAGGAGAAGCAAGAATGGATGAAGAAGAACGCTGTACAGAGGGTGAAGAAGAGGATGTAGAAGAAGGTGAAGACAAAGAAGAGGATGGAGAATGACAAGGAGGTGGAAGAGAGGGAATCGAGGCAGGTGGGTGGTCTGCAAATGCCTGGGGAAGATCTGATAATGTGGTCTCTGGAAGAGATTGCTGGACTGACTGAAAGGGTTCTAAGCTAGCAGGATGTTCAGACAATGAAGTACTATAAGAACGAGTGGGGACCATTTGATGAGAGGGATGACTGAATAAACCAGAAGGCTTCAAAACTGGGGGAGCTTCCAAAGGGGTTGGGGAAACAACCAGGTGAGCTGGAAGGGAACGGCGAACAAGGGCAGGCATTAGAGTGGCTGGTGTACAATGTTGTGCTGGAAGAAAATGTCTGTGCCTGAAAGTTTTGTGAAATAATTTGCTCTGGGAGGCAGAATTGGGAATGGTTGGGGAATTTCGGGGTGGCTGTGGTAAATGGTCAGGTGGGCCAGAAGGAATTGGGGCTGGTAGAAAAGGGAAACTGCTAGAAAAGCTGGGAGTAACTGGGGCTGGAGGGCGAGGAAGATATTTAATTGGGTTGGACAACAATGGGGCTGGTAAAAAGGTCTTCCGAAGAGCAGAGGGGACAGATGGGCGGATAGGCAAGATATAGGGCTGGCGGGTGGAAGAAACAGTTGGATAGCTGGGAAGAATTTGGGAGTGGTGGGACAGCAATGGGGCCCGTGAAGGAGACCGCTGATCAGGTAAGTAGGGATAAGGTGTGGAGACAGCTGGACAGGCAGGAATGGATCTGCACAGGTGGAAAAGCATTTGGACAGGCAGGTAGAGAGAGAGCCTTATTAAGATGTTTTTTTTTTTATACATTGGGCTGCCTCTATGCTTTTGATTAATATTATTTTTTGTCCTTAGGGTCCATGCGTGATCTTTGTTCAATCAGTGTGCTCTCATATGGGCCAAGAAATGTACATAGTTTATTCAGGTTCCCCTTTTCTCATCCTTGCTCTTACAATATTTTCACCTTTTGGAAGTCTGATGGTCACATGGATAATGAATATAGGCTAGATAATCTGGTTTGCATTAAACCAGATTATCTAGTACAAAGGGCAAACAGAAGTGCAATAGACCACTTCTCTGGTCTGGCCAGATTTCTCAGTGTAGCCTGTGTTTTAGAATTTATGGTCTCACCACAAATACATGGATATTGGAGATAGATATTGAACAACATCATTTAAAGTAAAAAAATTTAACATGAGAGTAAATATAGCTTCTTTTACCTTACATCTATCTACCAGAAAGGTTAAGTATACTACCTTTGTGATAAAGATTTGGGTGTGGTGGAAAGCTGATTACTTATGTGTTTAATGTAAGTCCCTTATTATCCATGTATCTCATTATTTCCTGAGGCAAATTTGATTTTCATATGAACACATTATCTACTTTTTCTTGAGGCTTATGCTTAGAATACCTTTCATTTTTTATATAATTTTTCCTTTAGATTACCACATTACTAACATCTTATATTATTTTTATCTAATATTAATATTTTCCATATTAGAACAATTAATTATTTATAAATACTGATCTATCCCCATTTCTTTGGAGTTCCCTTTTTCTTGACTTCACAGTTATTGCTATATAATAATATTCTGGTCAAAAACAGACCCCAAAATATGTAAGATTATTATGGAAATAAAAAATCTGTATCATCTAGTGATGTTGTAGCCATTGTATCATGTTAGTCCAACACATTCCTCACCTGTCTGCTGTGATGCTGGTGTAAACAAACTACTGTACAGCTAGTCATATAAAAGTACAGGACATACAATTATGTATAATACATCATCCTTGATAATGTTAATAAATGACTGTTACTTGTTTATGCATTACTATACTATGCTCTTAATTGTTCTTTTATTTATATATTTTAAATATATTTTATTGGTTATGCTATTACAGTTATCCAATTGTTTCCTCTTTCCTCCCTCCACTCAGTATTCCCCACTCCCTCCAGCAATTGCCCCCTTAGTTCACGTCCATGGGTCATGTATATAAGTTCTTCAGCTATACAGAACATAGCTGAAGAATACATAAGAATACATGTATCCATTTCTTATGTATTCATAACTTCTTCCTGCCTATTCTATACCTACCTACCAATTTGTAGTTCATAATCCCTGCATGTTTTCCCCTATTGTCTTCTCCCCCCACCAGCTGATAAACCTCCAAATGATATCCATATGTATGATTCTGTTTCTGTTCTGCTTTCTTACTTTGTTTTTTAGATTCAGTTGCTGATACTTGTGAGTTTGTTGTCATTTTACCATTTATAGTTTTGATCTTCTTCCTTTTCTTAAATAAATCCCTTTAAATTTCATATAACAAGGGCTCATTGATGACAAAACCCCTTTAGCTTTACCTTGTCTGGGAAGCACTTTATCTGCCCTTCTATTCTAAATGATAGCTTGGCTGGATAGAATAATCCAGGTTGTAGGTCCTTGCTTTTCATCTTTGAATACTTCTTGTTAGTCCCTTCTTGCCTGCAAAGTTTCTTTTGAGACATCAGCTGACAGACTATGGAAACTCCTTTGTAGGTAACTCTGCTTTTCTCTTGCTGCTTTTAAGATTCTTTACCTTTAATCTTTGGTATTTTAATTATGATGTTGTCTTGGAGTGGTCCTCTTTGGGTCCAACTTGTTTGGGACTCTCTGTGCTTCCTGCACTTGTGTATATATTTATTTGTCCAAATTAGGGAAGTTTTCTTACATTTTTTTTCCAAATAAATTTTCAATTTCTTGCTCTTTCTCTTCTCCTTCCAGTACCCTATGATTTGAATGTTGCAACATTTAATGTTGTCCCAGAGGCTTCTTACCCTATCCTTGTTTTTCTGGACTTTTTTCTTCTTGCTGTTCTGATTGAATTGTTTTTCTTCCTTGTGTTCCAAATTGCTGATTTGATTCTTGGATTCATCCACTCTACTGTTGATTCCCTGCAAATTTTTATTTCACTTAGTGTAACCTGTATTTCTGCCTGGGTATTTTTTATGCTGTTGAAGTATCCAATGAATTTCTTGAATATCCTAATAACCAGTGTTTTGAACTCAGCATCTCATAGATTGTTTACCTCCATTTTGTTTAGTTCTTTTTCTGGAGTTCTGTTTTATTCTTTCATTTGGGCCATATTTCTTTGTCTCCTCATTTTGGCAGTCTTCCTGTGTTTGTTTCTATGTATTAGGTAGAGCTGCTTTGACTCTCTCTTAGTAGTGAGGCCTAATTAGGAAAGTGTGCCCGTAAGTTGGATGGGGTAGAGACTTAGGTAATTGTTTGGGTGGGGCAACCTGTGTGAACCAGGTTGATGGAGTCTCAGACATGTGGCTCTGTGTGAGAGAAGGCTCAGAAAAGGACAATGGCCCCTGCCTGTCCTCTGGAGTTTTGTCCGTGAGGAAGCTGTGCCCTTGCACTTGCCCTGATGCCAGAGACTTCAGTTTCTCCCTGTATGCCAATGATGCCCTTCAGGCTGCTGCCCAAGTGCTGAATCCCAGAGGGAGTGAGTCTGCATAAGTCCTAAGTCTATTGTGGACCCTTTAAGAGGAGACACCTGAGAATCCTGAGTTGCTTCTGCCACCCCAACACCCACTGGTTTTTGCAGCCAGAACTTATGGGGACTTATCTTCCTGGCACTGGAACGCTGGGCTGGGTGGTCTGGTGCAGTGCTAAGATCCTTCACTCCTGATATATCTGTCCCAATTTTTATCTATCACATGACCACATGTGGGTATGGGACCACCTGTTCCATGTCTCTGTCCCTCCTACTGGTATGAATGAATGTGATTTCTTTAATTCCTTGGTTGTTGGGCTTCCATACAGGTCTATTTTCTGACAATTCTGGATGATAGTTGTTCTGTAGTTTAGTCATAATTTTTGCTGTGGTTGCACAAGGATGCAAGCTGTGTTTACTTATGCCTCCATCTTGACCAGAAGTCTGTGGGGGAGAGCTTAACTGTTTTTTTAGAGTATGCTCTTTTTACTTACAAAAAATTTACTGTAAAACATGTGCCACGTTATACTGCCAGCAGCCTCTTACATCTTGGTTTTTACTGTGTCTATTTTTTAAATTAATTTAATTATTGTTCAATACTGTGTCTATTGATTGTATCATTTTCACTTGTGCTTAATTTAATTTCATGTTGTTTTGTATAGTAACAACCAGTACAGGCTTGTAGCCTAGGATGTAGTAGACTATAGCCTAGGTCTGTAGTAGACTATAGCATCTAGGTTTGTGTATGAACACTATGATGTTTATACAATGACAAAATTGCCTAACTACACATTTCTTAGAATATATCCTGGTCATTAAATGGTACATGACTGTACTTTATTTCTCAGTGCATTTTAGGTTTGTACTCCACAGAAAATATATTTTTAATGTAACAATAGCTCATGAATATGTTCAGCTTAATTATATTTGTGATAAACAGTACATATAAATATTTCTATTAACCTTATACCTGATCATTGATATTTCAATATCTCATATTTGTATAGCATTTTATAGTTTGAGGTATTTTCACACACATTATTTAATATTGCTAATTATGTGAAGTTGAACTTTTTAATAAGTAAACCATAGTGTTTTCTCTATAAATTGTATACACCTGTGGTTTTCACATACATAACATTTATATGTGTGTGTGTATATATATATATATATGTACAGATAGAGGTATCATGAAGTCTTTGTCATAATAGTTTATTATAATATAGTATATTACAATAATAGTATGAAAACTATATATTCTAATTTAGAATGAGGACAATTTCTCATAAAGCTAAGATGATATATGTTATTCAATGGTCCTAGCACAAATTTGGTATAATGATAACTATATGTTTGCTTGCAAAAGGGAAATCAAAATTGTTCTGATATTCTCCCTCTTCTAGTAGGACTTTAAGAAACTGTACACTGTTAATTACTAAAGTCTATCTTTTAATTCATAGTACAAAAAACTTTATAATTAAAAATATCTGATAACATAAAGGATAACAACTGATACACAGAAAAAGAAACCTGAGAGTGAAAACTGTATACAATAATGCACATTACTTTTACACTGAAAGGTTTGGAATTTTCATCACTCTAAATTCCCCTTGGACTCTAAAACCCTCCTTAATTGTCTGCCATCTTCCCTTTTCAGATAAGCTTTTCCATAAGAGATCTAGAAGTATATTGTCTGCAATGCCTTAACTTTTATGTGTCCCAGAACACACTGCTATCTAGCTTCTACCTCTACCACTTCACTGTACTGATTTTGCTAATGATTAACTAATTAACCTAATAATTGCAAAAATAGACACTTTTGACTGCTATCTTTCTGAAGGTTTCCGTATCGTCATGCTTTCCTAATTATTTTTTACTTCTCCCACTGTTGCTTCTCAGGGTCTCTCTTTGCTTTCCTTTATATGTTAGAATTTTTGAGAGACATGTGGCCCTCTTCTTTGCTTATATATTCATATATACTTTCTATGTAATCTTATTTATATTGCCTGTGTGATCTTATATATACCTCTATGTGACCGAAGAGTTACAAAATCTGTTCTTCTCTTTATCCCAAAGCAATGTGGCTTTGGGATAAACCTGTTTCCCTGGATTATTAGTAGGATTTAAGCTATATTATAAGGTATGTTAAAAATGAC